GAGTACGACGGCTTATGCCAGCTATGCTTGCTTGCCTTTACTTTATTATGCTATTTCTAGCATAGGATAATTATATGCATGCATGAATTGCTTGATTTCCTAGGCTAGGTGCTTTCCTATATTTTATTATAGTTATAGCACCGAGCTAGGTTGCGTGCACCGAATTCTGGCTTTTCGGTTGCCACCGAATTGCCCTCTACCGAATTCGGGAAGGATCTGTTCGGGACGTTTCACGACCCGCGGAACCTTCGCGTAACACCTGGTTACGAGGCCTTGTGTCGAGCCTATATATAGCCTCGTGTTGTACCCAGGTGATCATTCAATTACAATTCTCTTTTCTGAGCTCGATCCTAGATCCTCACAACTGGGCCCCCAGAGGGGTCTGCCAGGGAGACTGCAACCGGCCGACTGAGCGGTGTGAGTGTGGTGCTGTCGCGACAGAAGGAGCGGGAAGCACCTGAGTCAAGTGTGAATGTGTGCAAGGCCTCAGCAGGCGCAGTATCAGAGAGAGCAGACTCACCAGCACCTGGAGCAGCAGACTTACTGGCACCTAGAGCAGCAGCCTCACCAGCACCTAGAGCAGCAGACTCTATACCTGGGTCAGGCGGCACACACAGGTAACAGTCACCATCAGCACTAATAGTCACAGCATACATAGCAGCAAGGATAGCATCATAGTCAAGAGCAAAGATATCAACATTCTGCCTAAGCAGATCAGCCCAGCTAGGGAGCTCAGTGGCGTCAGGAAACTGTGCGCGCCAGGCGTCAGACAGGCGACCAAAACAGCGCTGCAACGTGTGTGGCCCTCCGCACGTCTCCCCACGGCGCCCGCCGGTGCGGAGAACGTAAGTGCAGGGACCAGCACCCCCAGACCGCCCACGCGTAGCGTACCACTCACGAAGTTGCTGGGGCGACGGGGTCTCGCGGGAACGCGGCTGCTGCTCGCGCTGGCTACCGCCAAAGCCTCCACGCTGCGCAGCGCTACCCCGACCAGCACCACTGCCGTCGCTGCCACCTCCACCGCCGCCGCCGCTGCCTCCACCACCGCTGCCGCTGCCTCCACCACCTCCACCGCCGCCACCGACGCCCCCACTCCCACCACCACCCTTGCCTCCACCCCCACCCCCTTTGCCTCCTCCACCGCCACCACCGCCGCCCCCGCCGTCCCCTCCACCACCCTTGCCCCCCTTGCCCCTTCTGCTGCGGCGCCTCCGACTAGGAGCAGACGCAGCCTCGACCTCCTCGGTGCCAAGGAGGTCGATAGCAGCAGTAGAAGCAACAGAGGGTAGAAGGGGAACGGGGGAACACCCCTCAAAGAACGGGGCGCGAGGGTCGCCGCGAGAAGCACCTACAGCAACTATACTCTTCTCAGCTGCAGTGAGGCGCTCCTCTAGCAGGTCGACGGTGAGCTCGGTGGGGCAAAGGGAGAGAAAGTGGTCCCTGACTGAGGAAAGGGAGTCAGGGAGACGGGTGACTAGGTAGAAGAGGGTGATGTACATGTGGGGGGGGGGGTTCTTTGCGCAGAACTCGGAGGGAAGCGCAGCGCGGTAGCTGGCGTCACTAGTGCGGAGGTGAGTAATGAGGTCAGCAACTGTGGCAAAGGCAGCCAGGTCAGGGAACAGGTACTTTAGCACAAGGCGGCTGAGGGTAGCAGTGGAAGGGGAGGAGTAGCGCGCTACGACAGTGTCATACAAAGACTTAGCAGTCTTATACTGGCCAAAGTGCGCGCGCTCAGCAGAAGGCAGGTGACTACAAACAGCAAGGCGGGCAACAGCGTCACGAGTAGTCCATTGCGAGCGAACTGTACTGTCAGCATCGGCAGCAGGTGCAGCAGAGGCGCCAGACATGAGATAAAAAAGCGAGACTCCGTCCTTAGAATCGCACTGAAGAAACAGCTGCATATCATCTACCCAGACATTGAAGTCAACTGCACGACCCTCAGCATCGAAGGTAAGAACCGTAGGGCTAGCCATGGCGGAAATAGCAGCAGTGGCAGCAGTAGCAGCAGTAGCAGCAGAAACAGCAGTAGCAGCAGGAGCAGCGCGGCGCAGAAGGGCAGTGCAGCGCAGCTCGGTAGGGTGGCGCGGCTCGGTCAGCAGGCAGGCGCGGGTAGGGCATGTGCGCGGGTAGCGCGCGTAGGGTAGGTGCTCACCAGGGGTGGGCAGGGCAGGCGCGACGGCGGGGCCGCGACGGCGGTGTTGGTGCAACCCTACGGTTTGCACTCGGCTTGTTGTCCGTGTGCGTGAATGTGTGTGTGTATGGAATGGTATGAGGGCATGGGATAATATATATTTCATGCTTATAATTGTGTGTGAATGTTGAGTCATGATGTCGAGTGTGTGTGTCGAGTCAATAGCGAGTTATCGCTAGACGCGTGTTACGCGGTCGTTTGTGTCTCGCGCGCGGTTTCTATTTTGTCGTGCGCGGTTTCTATTTTGTCCTGTGTCGAACGTTCGGCGTGTCGCAGGTGTGTGCAGCAGACCCATCAAGAACTCAAGGATGAGTTTGTGATGAAGAGCCCGAGCCTTGGTGTCAAGCCTCAAGTGATTTCGAAGCTTGCCAAAAGGGTACACCTCGAGATATTGAAGATAGTTACATTACTTTGTGTAGTGTAACATTTCACTTGGTGTAGGCCCTAGTGAAGGGTAGTTTCGAGACCCTTCGTGGTTGGGGACAGTGTGGCACTGTTCCACATCACTGTACCTCGGCTCTTGGGGTTTGTAGGAGCTGGGAGTCATTCCCAACTCGTAACTCTTCCTATCTTGTGTTCTAAGACTATAGTGGCTGCCATAGTACCGTTCGTTCAAACCGACGCTGTGTCATCAATTCTTTATCAAATCGTGCAATCTAAATTGCTAATTGTAGACGACGTCAAGACGCTTCAGATCCAATTTGAATCAAGTCATTTGCAGCTGTGAGCAGAACGCTATCAACGTTTGAAGCCGCTGTGCAGAAATCCGTCTGTGCTCTCTATCTTTCGTTTTAGGCACATTCAAGCCTATTGTGACTATAACAGGCGGGGCCGCGACGGCGGCGACGGCGGCGGCCACGACGGTGGGGCCGCGACGGTGGCTGCAGGCGCGACGGCGGCAGGGCAGGGTCGCGTCGGGTGCTGCAGGCGCGACGGCGGCTACAGGGCAGGGCCGCTACGGCGGGGCCGCGACGGTAGGGTCGCACGACGGCGGCGACGGCGGGGCCGCAACGGCGGCAGCAAGTGCGACGGCGGCGACGGCAGGGCCGCGACAGCGGCTGCAGGTCAGGGCCGCGACAGCGGCTGCAGGCGCTCGACTGGCGGGCAGGGCAGGGCTGCGACAGCTTGTAGGGCAGGGCCGCGACTGGAGGGTCGGGCAGGTCCGCGACGGGCAGTAGGGCAGGGTGTTGGTGCAACCCTACGGTTTGCACTCGGCTTGTTGTCCGTGTGCGTGCATGTGTGTGTGTATGGAATGGTATGAGGGCATGGGATAATATATATTTCATGCTTATAATTGTGTGTGAATGTCGAGTCATGATGTCGAGTGTGTGTGTCGAGTCAATAGCGAGTTATCGCTAGACGCGTGTTACGCGGTCGTTTGTGTCTCGCGCGCGGTTTTTATTTTGTCGTGCGCGGTTTCTATTTTGTCCTGTGTCGAACGTTCGGCGTGTCGCAGGTGTGTGCAGCAGACCCATCAAGAACTCAAGGATGAGTTTGTGATGAAGAGCCCGAGCCTTGGTGTCAAGCCTCAAGTGATTTCGAAGCTCGCCAAAAGGGTACACCTCAAGATATTGAAGGTAGTTACATTACTTTGTGTAGTGTAACATTTCACTTGGTGTAGGCCCTAGTGAAGGGTAGTTTCGAGACCCTTCGTGGTTGGGGACAGTCTGGCACTGTTCCACATCACTGTACCTCGGCTCTTGGGGTTTGTAGGAGCTGGGAGTCATTCCCAACTCGTAACTTTTCCTAACTCTTCCTATCTTGTGTTCTAAGACTATAGTGGCTGCCATAGTGCCGTTCGTTCAAACTGACGCTGTGTCATCACTACTTGGTGAAATCGTGCGATCTAAATTGCCTATTGTAGGCGATAATAAGACGCTCGAGATCCAAGTTGAATCAAGTCATTTGAAGATGTGACCAGAACGCTATGAACGTTTGAAGCCGCTGTGCAGAAATCCGGCTGTGCACTCTATCTTTCGTTTTAGGCACATTGGAGCCTACTGTGACTATAACACAGGGCAGGCGCGCGATGGCGGCTGCAGGTAGGGCAGGCACGCGACGGCGCGGGTAGGGCAGGCGCGTGAGCGTGCGCGTTGGGCAGGGCCGCAACGGGCGGCAAGGTTAGGGCCGCGACGGGCCGTTAGGGCAGTGCCGCTACAGGCGGCAGTAGGGCAGGGCGCGTGACGGCGCAGGTGAGGCAGGCGCGACAGCGCGCTTCGAGCAGGGTAGGAAAAAAAAAATCGTGGTGGGCCCTAAAAAAAAATCGTTCCTACTAGGGAACCTGCTCAGAAACCATGTGAAAGTAAAACGAGGAATAAGTGCATTGAGCAACATGAGGAGTACAAGTAGGAAACTCTAAAGTGTTGTACCCCATATGAACTATCCCACTTCAGCCTACACAGACTATAGCATATAAGTTTGACAGTTTGCATCTTAACATGGTATCAGAGCAGGTTCGAGCTAGGACCTAATTTTTATGGGCCCACCGTTAGCCTATTCAATGGCACCCTCAGTCGAGCTACATGTCGAGTCGCTTCTGCCCGCGACCGTACGGCGACGATCTGCGCTGCGACACTCGACGAGCCTACATTTCGTTCACGTTTCGCTCCCCCCCGCCCGTCTGTACGCTCCCAGGCACTCGTCGTCAGCTGCAAACCGTCCGTCGTCAACTCCCCGCCGCTCGTTGCCACATCCCAACTGGCCTTCGTCACCTCCTCGTTGCCCGTCGTCAGCGCACCGGCGCCCGTCGTCAGCTCCACGCCGCCCGTTGCGCACCAGCAGCTTTCCCCACCCGCCCTCCCGCCGGCCCCTATGCTGCTCCAGTGGCTGCACATTTCGCGACTGCAGCTGATGTGCCGCCTTGTGCGGCCTCCCTGCGCTTCCCCGTCGCCTTCCCTTCGGCGACTCTGGCTGTGGGGGGGGATGTGGTGTGGAAGGGGTGGCCGCCGTGAGGCAATCCAGCACCACCCTTTACCCTGCCTCTCCCCTCCCACGGCTGCTGCTGTGGTGGGGAGGTGGTGGGGACGAGGGGGTGGGGGGCCTGGCCGCCGTATAAAGGAATGTGCAGGGACCACCGTGGGTGGGGAGGGGTCTGGAGGAAGAAAGGGGGGGCGAGGGTGAGGTTCTAAGGGGCGGCTGAACGGGGGAGTGAGGTTAAGGGGGGGTGGTTGAAAGGGGGTGGGGACTTGGGGGTTACTAAGAGGGGTTTCGCCACGATTGGCTCCCCCCCACCTCCTCTCCTCATCCCGCTCTCACCTCTCCCTTTGTAAAAGGGGGTTACTAGGAGGGGTTTCGCCACGACTGGCTCCCCCCCACCTCCTCTCCTCGTCCCTCTCTCTTACCTCCTCCTTGATACTTCTCTCCTGTCCTCTCCTCTCTCTCTCTTGCCTCCTCCTCCTCACTTATCTCTCTGCCCTTCTCTGCTGCGCCAGGTTTACCGCTTCAGGGGGGTGTTGACTATACTAGCTACTATCGCAAGCAGTTTGGGGGGTGTGTTGAAATATAATTTCTGTATAAACTGCTTGTTGTGTAGTTTACTGTAGTTATCCCTTGTTACTGTTGGTGGTGTACCTCATTGCTTGCTTGCATTTCCTATTTGTACCTTCCGAACTATAGTGAATTCCCCTTTTCGGTCGATACTCTCGCTCTTGCCATGCTACGCTTGTGTGAGAATAGAACGAGGAATGAATGAACTAGGAAGAAGGTGGGTACAAGTATGAAAACCTAAAAGAGTTGTACCCCATGTTGTCTACCCCACGACAGCCTACAATATAGTTCTGACACACCCCCATAGGCAAAGTGGGGGACAAGCAAGAGAACAAGGCAAGGTCAAGCTCAGGGTGGATCACAACGTCACCACACATTCTGAGCACAAGTTCAAGGCCACAAGGCCAGTTCACATGCAGGATTATAAATCAAGGTGAACAAGCAAGACACTGATCTCAACCTAGCAAGGGTAAGCATGCAGGTGCAGGTATATATAGATCACAGTACAAGCAAAGTCAAGAGGTAAGCAAGTGAGGCCCGGTAGGCACAAGACCTAGCATAGTGCAGAAACGCTGATGATCACAAGGCTGAAGTGCCTTGGTAAAGATATCAGCAGTGTTGGCCCGAGAGGCCATGTAAGCAAGACGAAGCTGACCATGCTGCTGCAACTCTTGAGCAAGGAAGTAGCGCAGAGCAATGTGCTTCGTTCTGTGCTCCAGTCTGTGCTCCTGACACAAGGCCAGCATGGCCTTGTTGTCGACGTACAGAACTGGAGGAGAACGAGGCGCCTCTCCCAAGTCGGTCAGCAGGTACGTGAGCCAGCGTAACTCTTGTGCAGTCATGGCCCCAGCGTAGATCTCAGCATCACAACTGGAGCTGAGAACAGAAGACGAGCGGGTAGACCGCCACGAAACAGAGCCGGAACCAAGGCTGAAGGTGTAACCCTGTGACGACCGCTGCGTAGCCAAGTCGTCAACCCAAGAAGCGTCTGCGTGACCAGTGAGCACAACTCGAGCCCGTCCTCCAAGCACGAGCCCCATGCCCGACGTACTGCACAGGTAGCGCAACACCCTCTTAGCTGCAGCCATGTGCTCTGGTCGGTGTCTCCCAGGAGCAACATAGCGTGCTAAGATGCTAAGAGGGTATGCCAAGTCAGGTCGAGTGCAGGTCATCAGGTGCATGAGGCAGCCAACAAGCTCTGGGTACGGGCCACTCGGCTCTACGGACTAATCCGAAGGCAGAGCTGAGAGCGAGTGGCGAGAAGACAGAGGAGTGGACTGAGGCGAGGGGTACGTGAAGTCAAAGCGCTGAAGGACCTGCTGCACTATGTGTGACTGAGTCAAGGTAATGGTGTGCCGTGCTTATCAGAATGTTATTATCTAGCCTGTAGTGGGGTGCTCTATAGCGAGTACAACCCAGTTAGGGTTTGCTATATGTATCCCAACTGCTGTTAGTGAAACCTCTCTTTCGTCATTCTTCTTTTGCACTCTTGTTCATTCTGACAGTGCTCTGTCCCGGGTGATCTGCAAGCCAAGATAGCTGCGCAGTTCATACAGGTCTGTGCACATGTGTCTCTTCTGAAGCTCCGACTTTACGTGGGCGAGTCCAGCAGTGTCAGCAGTAGAAAAAACCAAGTCGTCGACGTACACGAGGATGTAGAATGGCGGCAGAGTAGTGTCGGTGCGGAGAAACAGCGAAGGGTCAGCAGTAGAAGGAGCAAACCCAAGAGCCGCAAGCGTAGTCCTCAGTGTGTCGTGCCACTCGCGGGGCGCCTGGCGGAGACAGTAGACTAGCCGCTGGAGGCTCCACTGGGTACCAGGAGGAAACGACCCAGTGAAGCCAGGTGGGCGGAGCAGCCAGATCTCCTCGTGCAGGCTGCCCTGTAGGAAAGCAGTGCTGAAGTCAAGAGAGTGAAGCTCGTAGTCACGCTGAGCAGCGACGTGCAGCAGAACCCCAAGAGTGGTCATCTTTGGGGTCGGGGAGAAGGTCTGGAAAAGGTCAACTCCCTGTCGCTGACTGAAGCCTCGAACAACGTAACGCGCCTTGAAGAGAGACGGAGAACCCGGCGGCCGCTTCACCCTGAAAATCCACATGCCACTGACGATGTTCGCCCCAGGAGGGGGAACCTCGTCGACGTAGGTGCCTGTGGACTTCCAGGATGCCATCTCTGCGTCCATGGCTGACTGCCACTGAGAGGAGTAGGGACCCTCTATCGCCTCTGCGTAAGAGCGCGGGGCCAGGATGTCTGGTGCATCCGGGTCTCCCTCAGGTGCAATCAGCATGGACACGAGATGAGGTACAGCGACTGCTAAGCACTCAAAGTCCTCCTGCCTGTCCTCAAGGACGTCCGTGCCAAGAGCACACTCACCCCCGACGGACGGAGGACAGACAGACTCAGACTCAGCAATAAGACTCACGGCGTAGTCTAGACAACAGTGAGCAGCAAAGTCGACAAGCTCAGAAACTAAGGCAGACGCAGCAGCGGACTCAAAAGAAGGGTCATTGACAACAGTGGCCAGGAGACGCGTGACAGTAGGACTAGCAGCACGAAGGGAGTCAGACTCCGGGTCAGAAAGGGCAGGAAGAGAGGACGCAGGAGGAGACGGCAGAGGGACACGCAACGGAGCAGTGGAAGGACGCAGAGCCATCTGGTGTGTGCCAGGGACACGAGGAGGACGCTGACGCGAACCACGACGACTAGTGCGAGCAGCACGAACAGGCGACGCAGGACGAGACTCAGGCGATACAGGACAAGACTCATGCTCACGATACTCCGCAAGACCTCCGGTCGGACCAGTGTAAGGAGAAGGCAGGCAGTGGGGAGGCAGGCTGTAACTGTGACTGAGACTGGACAGGCTGTGGACACTCTAAGGAAGGAGCAGGACCAGTAGAAGGGGGGAGACCAAGAACCTGCTGAAGGAGCGGAACGAAGTACGGCCGCGGCCGCGCAGCACCTCCAGAACCAGCACGGAAAGTACAAGCACCCCCAGCGGGAGCTCGAACTCCAGTAGCACCACCAGCTCCAGCAGCACCTCCAGCAGCTCCAGTAACGCCAACTCCAGCACCCACAGGAGCACCGGCTCCAGCAGCACCTCCAGCTCTAGCACCTCCAGCAGCTCCAGCTCCAGCAGGACCACCAAAAGCCCCAGTAGCTCCAACAGATCCAGCTCCAGTACCTCCAGCAGCTCCAGCTCAAGTAGCAGAACCAGGTCCAGCAGCTCCAGCACCTCCAGTACGAGCACCTACGGGACCCGTGGCTCCAGAACCCCCAGCAGCTCCAGCAGCAGTAGGACCTCCAGCAGCAGCAGGACCTCCAGCGCCCGTAGCACCACCAGCTCCAGCAGCACGGCTCCAGCGCTGAGCAAACCACTCGCGCAGCTGCTGTGGAGAGAGTGGCTCCCGCTGAGACGAAGCACCCAAAGGACCTCCAGGCTCAGCACCTCCAGACTCCACACGCGCAGGCTCAGCACCCTCAGGCTCCGCACCCCTAGACTCAGCAACCCCAGGCTCAGCACCCCCAGTCTCAGCACCCCTAGACTCAGCAACCCCAGGCTCAGCACCCGTAGGCTCCGTACCCCCAGGCTCAGCACCCCCAGACCCGGCACCCGCAGGCTCAGCACCCCTAGCAGCACTAGAGTCAACAGCTACCTCGACAGGCTCGACTGCGTCTACCTAGGACACACCTGAGGGGTCAGGACCCTGAGGGGGGAGGGGGTCTACCGGGGGAGGACCTGGCGCAAGGAAGAGCGGCGGGGGGGGAAAGGGGGCAGTGCGGTAGGGGAAGAGACGGTAGTAAGGAACCGACTCGTCAAACGTGACGTCCTGAGAGGACAGAACACAGCGCGAGGTGGGGTGGTAAAACTGCCAACCAGGCGCGTCAGGGGGGAAGCCAAGAAAGACGCATGGGACAGCACGGGAGGACAGCTTGTCCGCAGACAAATCGCGGACAAAAGCTCGAGATCCCCAGACACGGAACGCAGACGCATCGCCAACCTTCCCTGTCCACCGCAGAGTAGGTGTGGTCTCCGTCATGGAGACCCGAGGCTGGAGGTTGATCTGATGCGCCGCGTATTGAACCGCGAACGGCCACAGAAAATGGGGAGCAGCCGCATGGCTCATGGACGTACGAGCGACGTCCATGACCATGCCAATGCGGCGCTCAGCAATCCTATTTTGCTGTGGAGAAGCCGGAAGCGTGAACGTCTGGCGGATGCCCTCCGCACGACATAAGGCTCGCAGAAGGTCGGAGGAGAACTCTCCACCTTTGTCAGAGTGCAGACGCAGAACAGGAAGGTCCGAGCTGAAACTCTCGCTGAGCTGACGACGGGCAGCGCGGATCCACGGATCCAGTCGATCAGCACCTGAGTGACCTCACCCTTGCGGCGCAAGGGGAAGACCGTGGTGTAACGCGAGTAGTCGTCAACGACCAGCAGAAAGTAGCGCTCGTGACCCTGTCCACGGACGCGGGTGGGGCCCCACACGTCCATGTGAAGAGTCTGCAGGGGAGCCTCCGTCGGAGGGAACTCGGAGGAGTGAGGAGCGGCGCGCTGCCGTCCCTCGACGCAAGGAACGCAGGTAGGGGCAGGCCCTGGGGGAAGGGGAGGGAGAGATCAGGGAAGACCAGTGACAAGGACACGGGAGGCCATATCTCGGAGACGAGGCAGGAAGGGGTGACCAAGGCGGTGGTGCCAGAGAAGAGTCTAGTGAGACAGGAGGCAACACGATCAGGGGGCAGACTCAGGACCAGACCGGGACGCTGCAGCAAACACCTGACCCGACGCGGCTACCTGACCAGACTCAGCAACCGGAGGAGACTGTCAAATGTTATATCTGCTACAGTTGGTTAGGCTGTAGTGGGGTAGTTACTATGGGGTACAGTAAGTTAGGGTTTCCTACTTGTACCCAGCACTTTCCTAGTGCAATCACTCTTGTTCATTTTGACAGAGACACGGTAGTCAGGGTGTACAGGCTCGACCCAGGCTGACGGGTGAACGTGGCCAGGTGCCGGCCCGTCCGAGTACACGAACAGTGGGTCACCCGCTGACCTCCAGGAGTGAACTGGTCAACCCACGCGTCCTGAAGGTCAGCTCCACTCACCAAGTTCGTGGAGAACGAGGGGAGGTGGAGGCCAGACAGAGAGCCAGACGAGACCGCCGGACACGGCAGGACCGTGGAGGAGTGTGCAAGGACCGGACCCCCAGAGGGGTCAGCCAGAGAGACTGCCACTGGCCGACCGAGCGGCGAGAGTGTGGTGCAGTCGCGAAAGAAGGAGCGGGAAGCACCCGAGTCAAGTGTGAAAGTGTGC